GGGCTTAGGTAATCTGTTTACTTGTCATATTTTAATTGGAGAATATATAAAAGCAGGGATTATTGACAAGGCAATGGAACTTTGGAAACGTGTACACAAATTGGGGCTTGTTCCGAGTTCAACCACTTACAGTGTCATGATTGATGGATTTTGTAAAATGCACATGCTTAATTTTGCAAAAGGACTATTTATTAGAATGAAAATTTCTGGGCTTAGCCCTACATTGTTTGATTACAATACATTGATGGCATCCTTGTGCAAGGAGAGTAGCTTGGAGCAAGCGAGAAGATTGTTTCAAGAAATGAAAGAATCAAACTGTGAACCTGATACCATTTCTTTCAATATAATGATTGACGGGACTCTGAAAGCAGGGGATATTCAATCTGCCAAAGAATTACTCAACGACATGCAGCAGATGGGTCTGACTCCAGATGCTTATACTTACTCCTCATTCATAAACAGGTTGTCAAAACTTGGACAAATGGAAGAGGCAAAAGGTGCTTTTGACAGCATGATTGCCTCTGGCATTACACCAGACAACCATGTATATGATTCCTTAATAAAAGGCTTTGGTTTGAATGATGAGATAGAAGAAGTCATAAACCTCCTTCGTCAAATGGCAGATATGGGTGTCATTCTTGACTTAGAAATAACCAATTCCATCCTGACATTTCTCTGTAATAGCGCAGAGCATTTTCATGTAATGGAGCTTTTGCCGAATTTTTCCTCGGAAAGCTCAGATGGGACAAGCATCTCTTGTGACGAGTTATTGATGAAAATACAGAAGTTTAACCCAAAACTTCAAATATCCGCTGCTTGATATTTTTTCATCTCTAGGTGATCACTGTTGCTACAATCCAGTCACATGATACTTTGTATGTAAAGCTTAGAATTCTTTTGTTGTGTGCTTCATCCACTTTTGTTATGAACCTCTTCCCTGAGGATTCTATAAGACACGCTTCATAGTTAAGCACCGAGGAGTGTTTTTCCATTTTCTTTTCTTTTTGTTTGGTAAGGATGAAACTCTAAGGCTTCATAGAAAGTCAGATCTTATTAGCTTCGTTAACAGGTCAGTCCCTGTAGCGTTCTGGTTTCTTTTTATTGCCCCATATTTGCTGACCCCCTTTCCCCTGTACAATTCATGATACATTACAACATGTTCTTATCATTATTTACCGCCACCATGAATTTCTCACTTCCATGCCTGTTTCTTCATCAGCAAAGCAAGTTTTTTTCTAAAAGAAAAGCTTAATGCAAAAATAAGAAACCAGAGTGGTTGTATTTGGAAGTTATTTGGAGTGACTATTGATTGCACCAATGAATTAAGCCACTGAATTAATGCTGTGGGTATGGTCTGTTCATTACTGGAATCCAAGGTGGTGAAAATGGTTAAGAGGTGGAAGTAATTTTTGCAGTTACAGATGTGGGAGGAGTTTGGGAGCTCCATCTGTCTCCTCATGTTTTTCTGCGTATAAGTCAAGTGGTATTTGTGAATAAATGTGGAAGTTAAGCGCTTGACTCTTTTCCTTTTTAGTTTCGATTATTGCAGCTATAATTTGGTATCTGATAGTTTTGTTAAGATTCTTGCAAATTAGAATGTGAATATTATGCGGTCCAGGCGCAGATGATGGATATGTGAACAGCCAGGAGCAGCGTTGGTAAATGGATAT